GAAATCAGAGCAGATCATCGACGCATCCGGCAAGCAGAGATTGTTTCAACCATTGAAGAGGAAAATAGAAGACTAGAAAGAATGGAATTTGAGGAGGATGACGAAGATGCCTTGGATGAAAGGAGGAGGAGAATCAGGGAAAAAAATCTTCAGAGGCAACAAGAAGAAGCTCTGCCGGAGGAAGAAGAAGAGGAGGTAGAAGAAGAGGAGGAAGAGGAATCAGAATATGAGACTGAATCAGAGGAAGATACCACTGGGATAGCCATGGTGAAACCAGTTTTTGTTCCAAAATCTGAGCGAGACACCATAGATGAGCGTGAAAAGCGCGAGGCAGAGGAACGAGCTCTCGAGGAGTTAGTGAAGAAGAGGTTAGAGGAGAGAAAACTTGAAACAAAGCAAATAGTAGTTGAGAAGATACGAGAGGAGGAAATAATTCAGAAAAATTTGGAGCTGGAAGCTAATATTGCTGATGTAGATACTGATGATGAGGTGAATGAGGCTGAAGAATACGAAGCTTGGAAGTCCAGAGAAATTGCCAGGATCAAGAGGGAGAGGGAGGACAGGGAGGCTAGTAAGAAGGAGAGAGAAGAAATAGAGAGAGTAAGAAATATGACGGAAGAAGAGAGGAAGGAGTGGGAGAGGAGAAACCCGAAACCTGCCCCACCACCCAAGCAGAAGTGGAAGTTTATGCAGAAATATTACCACAAGGGTGCTTTCTTCCAGTCAGATGCTGATGACGTAGCTGGAACTTCTGGCGCTGATAATATATTCCACCGTGATTTCTCTGCACCAACAGGGGAGGACAAGTTGGATAAATCCATACTACCCAAAGTCATGCAGGTCAAACACTTTGGTCGCAGTGGAAGGACAAAATGGACACATCTTGTCAATGAGGACACAACTGATTGGAACAATCCGTAAGTACCTTAAACCTTCTATGTTATATGCTCATTTCTGTTCATTCAATTTGTCACGTAGATATGCCGGATTAGCAATTCTTAATAATGCATCCTTCAGTTGCGTCCGGTTGTTTATTTCACATTAGCATCTGATTTAATGGTATCAACGCAGTGGTGAACATTACCTTTTTCTGGCTGTGATTATATTAGCTGGTCTTTCCCTTTGGTTGAAGGGATGTCACTGTTTGATCTCTTCAGCATATCTGATTTTCTTGAAACTGGTGATATCTCAATCTTGGTCTTCCAAATTTGATTTACCGCGCAGAAAGCAAAGGATAAAATTAGAGTTACATATCATTGAATAATTGATCGTACTTCAGATGTTTCACAGCTGCGTCAGAACTATTAGGAGAATAATGGTTCTAAATGTGCGAACTTTGCTCTGGAGTCTTATATAGCCTTCTATAAAGTGGGCGATTTGTATCCTGAACAGTGCATCACATCATATTGACAGCTGCTCTCTGTCTGTGTCTCTCTCTTCCTCTCTCTGTCTCTCTGTTTCTTTTCCTTCCTTTTTATTGGGTGATGATAAGAGGAAGGGGGTTGAGATGAGCCCATGGGTCTTGTCTATATGCTGATGGAATCCTGCAAGCTTGATTAGTGACCTTCTCTTTCTATGGTTCTTTTACTTGGAACTTTTAAGTAATAATTATTTCCCTGGCCTAAGGTCTTAAGAGAGAACGATGTGCATCTCAGGGTGTAGAGAGGTTTGTCTGATGTGTATATGTATCATTACCTAAGGCGGGATATGGTGTGGTTGTAGAGAAATTTGTTTTGCTTGGTGGATTTCTGGGGATGTATATATGAAGATTGTCTATTGAGATGCTTCTTGCCTGAGTGCTACTTGGGGCTTTGAAAATTTTGATTGCATATTTTTGAGTGATGTTGCTGCTAGCACAGGAGCATCCATTTTTCTGCTCCTGTAAAAACATTCTTGCATTCTGTTTTGATGGTTGGAGATTTTTTGTCATGGTTAATGTACTGGGCCCGCTGGATAGGAAAAGAATTGAAAAGCCTTGTATAGCATAAGAAGATTGTGACTGGGAGTACAGGGTTTGGGGCCATGAAACGAGTTTTGGTTTTGGAGGTGTGGGATTGGGTGCATGCTTTCTCTTTGTTACTATCAAATTCACTGCATAATTATTGACTAGTTGTGCATTAAAGTGAATTACGTTAAAAAGATTTATACATAGTGGCAGATGTACTTATTAGGATCATTCTAGAGAAACATAGAAGTTTATTGCATTAACGAGTTAGAATGTTTTACTTCCAGTTCAGTAATTTCAATTGTGGAAAGGGAATTCTCCAAAACGTAAGCACTTTTTCACTCAATATAATTATCTACCTTACTTAAAAATAAATAAAAATACACTTCAGTGAAGTATTTCTTTTAGAGCCTATAACCTATCTGAGTAGCTTAGAACATCTGGGATTACAGGTAAGGCCAATTAAAGAAAGAGAATATCTAGCATCCTGGTCCCTTCATCAACTGGTCTGTGGGGCTTAGCTTGTACCCAGAGGAAGTATATTAATATTTGTCCAAGTCCCTGGTTTTCATTGAATACTTTGCCTGCTAGTATTTGTGTGATACTAAGACTGCTGCTGTGATGAGATCGCACCCTTGACTTCTGTCTTAGCCATTCGGAGCTATACTTGCTTCCTGACAGAAGGAGTAATCTATTTGAATTCCATCAGTAGGCGATGCGTGTGTACATTTTTAGTTGAATCTCCTTGTGAGGACAAACTAGAAAGGGAAGAAATACGCTGCTTCAAAATTTTCAATATGTACTTCTGTATTCTAGTTTATGGTGTATAATTTGTGCTTTCTGGTTCAGTGTCCAGCTTTATCTATATTATTTTCTGCTAACAGCCTTTGCACTTACTGACTTGACTATTGGCGTTGGAGCAGGTGGACATACAATGACTCTCTTCGGGCCAAGTACAATACAAAAATGGCTGCTGTTAATGCTCCTATTGCAAAGCCTAAGGGTAAGAAATTGAAGGATTGGGAGACCCGGTGAAGCCATATTGTAGTCTGGTTCTTGGTTGTGCTCATGGTTTAGCTTTCAGGTTGTTTGAAGCACTGTACTGACTTTCTGTTTTTCTGTTATATCATCTGTAGCGCTTGTATGAAGTTATATGAATGGCAGAGAAGCACATTCTAGTGTCAGTTTCAGAATTATCCAATTGTCTCCTTAATTGAATCATTCATGCATTAGGGCATAGATTGTATTTCACTTCTTAATTATTGAGATATTCTATACTAAAAACATGAACAGAATTTGTTCTCTGTATTTCTATGCTCAACTAAAATCATGAGTTGAACTTGTGTACCATCAATTCGTGATGCATAGTGTTCATTTCTTGCTATCTTGGGCAATGGGGTTCTTTTACTTAAGGGACTCCTTGTTTCTTAGCTTGCACCTTTTGTCATAAACTTATATGCATAGATAGAATTACCAACATGATCCATATAGATTGTGTGGAGTGTTGGAAATTTTGTTTGTAGGCAGGTCTGGTATGAAGGTGGGGGTGGATTCAACTAAGTTAATTTTTCTAATGTATCACTTGACTAGATGAATTTATTTAGTGAGCTTACATAGGATCACAGGAACCGATAATTGTAGTCCAGTTTCATATTAACTGTTCTTTTGTGTATATAATTTCGGAGAGAATGTGAAGTTTATGTGATATTCTAGTTTCTGAAAGGTTATGTTCCTGTGAATACATTATATGCATACAAAACCAAGATGACATAAAAATATTTTTGGATATGCTGATGTCTGATTGATAAACGATAAGACATTTTTTGGCTTGAAATATGGACCATTTAAGTACACTATCTTTTTATAGATGTGAAGGCATATATATAGACAAAATTACATCAATTTTATCATCACCTGTAGACAAACTGAAAAATCAACAGATTGCAGCATGATGCACTGTTTGAATTGACTGAAGTTGTATAGTTGAAAGATATATTGTAGTCTTCTTATTATTGACCATCTTTATTTAAAGAAAATATTTTGGTTTTATCCTCAAATGGCCCCTTCGCCTTTCTCTTCCACTCAACTTAAGTGATCAGATTCTTTTGTACAATTTAGAAAAATAGTATAATATTGTTATTGGACGGAAACTAAATGGTTAAAAAGGTCATTATAGATTAATACTGTGTTGTGATAAGTCAATGCTTTGAAAGCGATTTTGGGGAATCAACTCATTTTGGCTTGCAAGCTGGCTACTCCTTCGAACCCTCGACAGAAGACGATTCAATATAAGGAGAGAAAAAAAAAATTCCCTTACGAATCAATGAGGGGCATTTTATAGATAAAGAAGTGAAATAAGAAAAGGATCGACAAAGAGGATAAAACGATAATATATAAAATTTCATTTAATGACGAAATAAGTAAATTCAATTAGCTATAAGCTTTTTAGCTTCGCTTAACCGTCAATTTTCTAGCTAATCTCATATTTTCTTTTCTTATCGTGATTTGAGCCATGAGGATATATCCGAAAAATACGCAAAAATAGAAGCAACATTTTTTTAAAAAAAATAGAAGAACAAAATGGAAGCAATAAGAAAAAGATAAAAGATTACATCACTGATGAAGTTGCAGTTGGATGTTTTTTGTAAACTTGTGTACATGGAAGTAATAATATATATTGTCCTTTTTCTATCAATTCCCCCCTTCACATCATCTTCAAAATCAGAATCAAAATCGTGCAAGGTTTCAATTTCTTTTCATTAGTCGTTACAACCAAAAAATCTTTATAAATTATAACGGCAATTGAAAAGTGTAACAACTTAAATAAAAAAACTATACCGTCAAAGTTTACAGTCTAGTGATATCAATTGATTTGAATCTCCCAACATAGCGCAGGACGTATGATTCAAAATTCCTTATCTCCTTCCTCGATTCCTTCACCTCTTTCAAATCTTCCAATGTAATATATTAAGATAAACAAGAGAAAATGAAATATATTGAACAAAATTGGAAAATTGAAGGAAAATCAACATGCACAAAAACGTTTCAAATATGGTTGTATTCATAATATATATTAGATAAAATTTGTAAGATTAACAAAAGGCCTCATGCCTTTTTCTTTTTTCTTGTAGTTTGAGACACACAAATAGGACACACTGATAAAACAGTTAGGGATACAAAATTACAATAAAAATGGAAGTGCTCCAGTAATATTATTATTGAAACATAACACAAGACATAAATCTCACTCACTCCTCCAGAGCAAATTCTTCAACCAGATTCATCTTATTGAGTGGATTGAAAGCATGAATCTCAGCACAAGCACATTTGCTAGGTAACACATAGGCACCCAATCCATCAAGTAGTGGAACACTAGGAACTGGCAATTTTCTTGCAATTATTACAGAATTGATCACTTCATCTGTAGGATGGTACACCGATAGTACCTCAAATCCTCGTAGATCCCGAGGATCTAGGACAGGGTATAGAAAAGCACGTGCACCATGTGCACTTCTAAGCATCAGGGTAGCCCCTGGAGACATGTATTTAGCTAGATGATCAACCACCTTAACTTTATCCTCTTTGTCCATACCAACTAACGCGGCCAGAAAGACTACATCGTAGTCTTTCAAGGCACACGTTACATCCATGACGTCAGCCGTATGAAAAGTCATACGGCTGGACATGTCTGGATCGGCCGCCACAAGGGCGGACGCCATGAAATTAGCATCCACATCAATGTCATAGTTGTGAAAACAAGTGGTTTTAAGATGTTTGGTAGCTAAAACAAGTGAGGTAAGTGGTAGTGGGCCTGATCCAATAAATGCAATTTTTTTAGGGATATTTGTTGTGTTTTTAGTAAGGATGTTGTACTCAAGTAAGCTGAGTTTGATGTAATTGTCAAAATATGGGAAAATGTGAAGATGTTGAAGGGGGTTTTCATAGGAGGAAAGAATTTTAGAAAAGTGTGACTCTAAAAGTCCCTCAGCTTGACCACAAAGTTTGATGAGATGAGACCTAATTTCTTGAATTTTTTGACAGAGCTTAGAGACATCAATGGGATTAGGAGGCATGCACGTGTGGACAAGATCTGTGAACAATACGTTGACATCTTTGGAAGGGCTAAGGTTCTCCAATCTTGAAATTTGTTCATATAATTCACATACTTTTTCTACTACTGGATTGCTATTTGGGCACACCATGTCGACACTATGACCAAATTGTTTTCTTTTCTTGGAATTGTAAAAAATTGCAACTTTTTTCTTTCTTTCAAGTTTGGAGCACAAAATAATCTGATGCTTATGAAGACTCCACAGGTCGCTATTTATCGAGGGATTTTTTGAGGGGGCAACGGGGTAGGGGAGGGGGTGGGGTGATTGGTTGCATCATTCATTATTTGAGATTTTTGGATTATTAATTTATTTTAAAAGAATATAATGAAATGCTGTACGTAGAATAAATTTTGTGGTGATTTCTTCTAACAAATTGATAGTGTAGATTAGTGGTGTAAATAATTATGATATGTTTAGCAAGTAAGTAATTTGTTTTATTTTTACTAGCCTAATTTATGTCTTTACGGTGTAATTTTTTCAACTTACATTTCTATCTCAATTTTATATGACATATTTTTTTTTTGCTTGTCAGAAAAGAATATTTTTTTTCTATAATTGGAAATAATTTAAATTTATATTTAAATTTTACTCTTAGTGAAATTATTTGTAACCATATAAATGATTAAGGCGTGTTTTGGATCATAAATTTTAAAAGTTTTTCATTATAGTTTCTTAAACTTTATTTTAAGTTAAACTATATCATATAAATAGCGGAAAGATTAGATTAACAATGACTAGACACATACTATAGTTCTAATTAGGAATGTCAAACAGTTAAGTACTGCAATTAGCTACTAATTACACATTAAAAAATATAGCAGGTTGATTAATCAACAAGATCAGAAATTTAAAGCATGAATCTCATTTTAAATTACTAATATTAGTTGTTCAATTTTTTCTACATATACCCTTAAAAAATGATAGATAATCAGATCAATTTTATTGATTTGCTCTTTTAAAAATTGAATTAATAATAATTTATAATAACGTGAACAACTAATATGAATCGTACTTGTTCGGTAGTACTACTTGTTTGGAGTTTTATTGTGTACTTTGTGTTTCTATTCTAGTTTTGCATTTGTACGAAAACCCTAATGTTTACTTTGTTGGACCACAATGTGAGTAGTTTTCTTGGGACTTGGGACAAATGCTCAAACTTACAATCCCAATGCCTAGGCATATCTATATTTATTATTATTACTCCTTCTCTTAAATCGAAAACGATTGACAAAAATTTAAAAGTTAATATGATATAAATACTCGATATAAAGATTTAATAATTAGAGTATCTGGTCCAACTATACCTGACTTGGATTTTTTTTTTTGTTTCCTCATTTGGTTACTCGTATTAAAACGGCATGAATAACAAGGTGGAGCAATGAATTAATTAATGAAATAATAATTAGGAAGAAACCTAGGGATATTGGGGAAATGGCATGGATAATGCATAAGAATCTAGTATTAACACAACACCTAATTAAATTAGTGAAAATAGGGCAAAAAACATTGATTGTAACATCAGAATCTTAAATTTCTTATGCTTTCCCATTTAGATTGTCCACACTCCACACCACTGCATGATCAAATTTAAATGCTTTAATTTTAAGCTGTTTTTTTTTTTAAAAAAAAATAAAAATAATTCCCTTTTCTTTAATCCTCTCTCTTCCAAATTGGTTTTTCTAAGGGGAACACCTAAACGATGGGATGATCGAAGAGTTATTTGTTACTTGCTGTTAGTTGTTGGTTAGAAGTGACAGATATTCCAAGAAATTGATTGATGTGATAGATATTATATAAAATTAAATGAGCATTTATCAATATTTGAGCGAGCAAAATTGCATTTTTTTTTATATAGAACAAAAAAAAAAAGGAACTACTAACAACTGATATTTTTTTTAAATTTATAAAACGTCAAGTATTTTGAAACAAACAATTTATTGAAATAACTAATATTTAGGATTATCAATACGATGAGTCTTGTAAATGCAATATGATGAGTCTGATGTATGCGTAGACCTTGTTCCTCTGGCATGTGAAGTCAATTTTCAAAACCATTTTGGATAATATTGAATGGACTTCCTATATGGCATATTTTGATTTCACACTGTTCTGGGGAATTATATATGAAAAAATAATGTACGACCTATAGAAAATGTCAATTTTCTAGTAACTATTTTTTTTATACAAAAAATTATTTATTTACTTTTGTTTTAACCTTGCGTGCAAGCATTTGGGTCCAGTATGCGTATCTCAGCGATTTTCCACATATGCCACAATCAACAATATATTACGTTACTAAATTTTTAGCAACACATCTTTTTATTATTTAGTTTGAATTTTTCTTCTAAGTATTTATTACCAAGTCACTTTCATATTTCTTTTAAATCTTATAACCCTTTTTTCTTATTTTTTAAAAAAACTATCAGTAACTTTTATTATATATTTTAATTATTTATGTGTACGTGTTAATTTTTTAGTGTAATATATAAAATGTTTATTTCTAAAATTTTAAAAAATGTGTGCATTCACTTTCAATTCTTTATATTATAAATGAAAACAACCAACAAAAAGATTGCTCAAGTCTTATAGTGTAACTTATAAGGAGTACTTCATTTATTATAACCCCCTCCTCTTTTCATACTCGATTGGTATATATTTTTTTATTTAAAATTTCACTGTTCGATTTGATATAAATGTCGTTCATACTTAAATTTGTACATATTCTTCATTCGGAGTTCTATTATTTAATGTGTGTATATTCATGGATTGCATGATAAAAATTTCACCTTTTGCAATTCTTTAATTTTTGAAAATACATATTGAGCCTGACTTTGATACGATGTTAAATTAGATTTTGACCCAATTTATCGCTCCTATAAGAATTCCGTTCCCAAAAAAGGAAAGAAGAAGAGTAGGACATAGCAGATAGGTAGTGTTTTTTCGACATTAATATGATAATACTTTAGTGAAAAGTTTATAAATAATATTATTTTAATGTATCACTCCATGTGACGAACAGCATTAGCCCTTCTTAGTGCCATATGAAATTACCACCACTATGCCATTTCTAGAGTCATTATGACAACATCTCCTATCATACAAAATTCACTCACAGTAAAAAAAAAATTTACTCTAATCGAGTAATAAGGTGTGTGTTATATATTATCCTTCTCATATTTTACTTGTATAATTATTCGTAACTTCTTATTGTTTATTTTTCAATCTGTTTCTTGAACAGTGTAAAAACGAAGAGAAAAGAAAATGTCTAATATGAGAAACAAACGAGAACTCTTCTAAAAATAAAAAAAAAATCCTCTCCATATTATTATTGTTGTTGAAAAATCTCTCACATTATATATTTGGTCAAATGATGTCTTGTACGGATTAGGCTTTCGTTATCCTTTTTAAGTATTTAACACATCTACTAGTTTAAAAATTGGGATTGATGTGTTGACAAGGAAAATATTTTTGTATTTTTATTTAATGGTCGACTTTATACGAGTGAGAGTTGTTCAAATAGTAAGCATCTTTCTATTTAATTTATACTTTGTGAGTTTTGTTAGTAGTACTAATTATTACATTAGTAGAATTAGTAATTTGAAAAAGAAGAAAACAAGCACGGTCAAGTTATATATATATTTCCAATTGTGTAAATATTCATTTATACTAATTTCAACGTATATAAGTCAATACCTTAATTTTGGTAAAATTTAGTATAATTTTCGCTAACGCAACCTATCTAGTGACAGAATAACTTTTAAGTTGACAAGTAATTAATTAAATTATGTAGGTAAGAAAATGGAATAAGAATACCGTAAGAAAGAAGCTGAAATAGATATTATTAACAAATTTAATTAATATATATCTTATGAATATGACCTTAAAAAATATTGTTATAAAAAAACTAACGCATCTTATCCTATCATTGATTAATAATGTGTCATTTCATTGCACAAGAAATAGTAACAATCCAAAAATACCAAAGAAGATAAAAACAAAAGGATAGATTGTTACGTACTGATGTAAAAGAAAAGGCTCCATTTAGACTTTAAACAATTCGTTAAACATGTTGCAAAAGACAATTAAGAGATATGATAGGATTTTTAATTGTGATTCATCCGATTACGATTTAAATTTGGATCTAAATTACTAAAATAACGCTTAACGTCCTCATCAAGGGTTAGTTAGTAACTGAATTCTAAATCTGTAAATTCTTGTACATATATTTAATCAACAAGTTTCGCTTCTTTGTCTACCTTTAATTAGATATTTTAGTATTAGTCACGAAAATATAATTTTTCAGTAAGAACACTAATTTGATAGATATATTCAAGATGAATTTTAGAGACAAGATTCGAAGTATAATTATTAAGCTAATGGTATGTGGAAAAAAAAGAAGTGCCCTTTATGGGGTTTGAATGGCCACACCCCTTGGCAAATACTACGTACTACAAAAAACTAATAATGTTGACATTTCATATCATTAAAACTATTTATTACTACTAATTAATCCAACTTCCTTATATTGATGTGATGGTGCTTTTTTGTGTCTACTATTCCATTGCCTTTTCCCCCCCTCAACTTCAATGGCCCAAAAAAGATGTTGCCATTCACTTTTAGCCTTTCTGTTAGTGCCCACTCTCTATTGGTTGCTTTGATTCAGTTGGGAATTAACCTTTTTATTATTTATTTATCATGGATAGACAAAAAAAAAACAAGTTGGTTTCACTGTTTTTTTAGCTCTATGTAAATATTAGTGCAAAAGGAAACAGAAATAATACTTTTAGTATCGAATTCTCATGCGTTTGGACATACATCTTAAAAATATGAATAATAACTTTGATATCGTTATAACTAATGTTTCACTGTATTTTGAAGTGAGAGCTCTGGCTACTTTCTCACGTAGAAAAAAGTTACCATCACAAAAAATAAAATGTATATTTAAACACAAATTCATTTTTTGAATATTTATTTTGAATTTAACTTGAATTTATATATATTTGAAAATATCACCAAATTCATATTCAGAACGCTTATATATATTAAGACTCTCATTTAATTAAAAAGATAAAGATTTTGAAGTGCAATCATGAGAATAGGAAGAAGAAGAAAAGAAAGTGTATATAAAAACAAGTTGTGCTATTATTTTTAGTGTTTTATTTTGAAGAAATCAAACATAAACATA